CATATCTCTTCCCCTAAGCTCTCCCAATCACCAAGTTAACCACTAGCCATGATCCACCAATCATCCATGAAACAAATGTCACTGTGGCAGAGACCACTAATCTTTCAATATCCATTTTTCACTTCCTCATTTCACGAATAAAATCCTTTACATTTTAGCTGAGCACATGACCTCACAGATAGACATGATATGTCCTGCAATCCTTTGCATCTGGGTACGGCCACATGACTAACTTCTGGGTAATGAGATGTTTGCAAAAACAATGCATTCAACTTCCAAGTCAAGTCCTCAGAAAAACTATCCATTCTTTCCCTGTCCCCCTTTCTTTGGGCTGGTCAGTTTGAAGGGAAGTGGTGAGCTGGATTTAATCATCTGCATGAGGACAACACTATAGGGGAGGGTGGAGCAGGAAGAAAGAAGAAGGCGCCCAAGTCTTGGGGAGCAGCGCAGCCTACATGCCTTGGACTGTCTACTTTGGCCCCAGATGTCAATGTAACCAGACTATGAAATTTAGGAAGATGAAAAATTGTTTAAAAAATTAAGTTTCCACTTTGGGAGGCCAAGGCGTGTGGATCACGAGGCCAGAAGATCGAGACCCTCCTGACTAACACGGTGAAACCCCGTCTCTACTAAAAATACAAAAAAAAATTAACCGGGCATGGTGGCGGGCATCTGTAGTCCCAGCTACTTGGGAGGCTGAGACAGGAGAATGGCGTGAACCCGGGAGGCGGAGCTTGCAGTGAGCCGAGATTGCACCACTGCATTCTAGCCTGGGCGACAGAGCAGGACTCTGTCTCAAACAAAACAAAACCAAAAAAATTAAGTTTCTTCCTATGACTAATCTCTGTGTAGAAGCAAACAAACAAACAAACAAAACAAAAGACCCTGGCGACCTGATAACCTCCCAAGCCTCAGTTTCCAATGTAACCCACAAAACGGAAAGTTTTCCTTTAAACTGTCTGAAAATTTTAGCCAGAAAATAAAGTGACTTTCTCATTATGTATCTGAAATCCTGTTAGTCTTTAAAAAAAAAATGTTTTTATGCATGACCTCCTCTGAGTTAAAAAAAAAAATCCTATGAAACTATAAAGCTACTTCCTTAAACTAATTTAAACAAGGATGATGGTGGCTATTAAAAACTTCTTAAATTTCATTCAGTTCAGAATGGTTAAAAACAGAACACACAAGCAAGGTGTGTCAACGGCTCCTGTAAAAAGCAGGGGCAGGATGCTGTCGGTGCTCATGCCCCAGGGTCCCCCAGCCCAGATGCACGTAGGGCCAGGGCTATTGTCTCCCACCTACAGTTGCAACATAGTGTCTGCCTGCCCCACAGGTCAAATCCCAGGTGTGGTCAACCCACAGAAGAATTTTGGAGGGCCCAGCACTTTCCAGGGCCTGTCACTTGGGCATTAAAACCTGTGATCATCCAAGAGAAACAGAGGTTGGCCCCCCAAGTATCCCTGTTACAGTCCAGGAAGGTGAAGTCACTGGAAACTTTTGGTGAGAACTTTGTGTTCCCTTAGCGGTGAGGATTTGGGAGAGATCAAGGAGGTACTTTAGGGTTAGGGACTTTTAAAACTAAATCTGGATTGTAAATCTAGATAGAATAGGAGCCCTTAGTAAGGCTGGTGGACCATAACTACAGACATTCAGCACCTGTGGGATGAGTCAACCTCTTCTCAATCCTCAGTATTTTGAAATGGATGGTGTTGATTTGTACCACCATGTGTATTATGTGGGCCTGTGGCTGTCTGGCCCAATGTTGCAGGGTTTTTGCTGGAGTTGTATCGTTCAGGTTAACTGTCACAGTGATAAAAAAAATATGAGAGTGGTTCGTGCAGATGATAGTTGTGTGATCCAAGCAAAAACCACCACTTGGTAGTTCCTGTAGCACCCTTACCCAGTGAGTTTGGTGAAATGGGGTTAATTAAAGCCTCAGGCCCAGCTGTCTTTTGTAACAGGATTTTCTACCAGAAGATTCAGTTGAGCCATAATGTGCACTTTGAAGACTATTTGTGAGGGTTCCTGAAGTGGAGGAATGCCAGTGTTTTACTAGTGGTGAAATCGATTCTGTTCCAAAGTGTTTTTTATGCTATTACAATAGCAACATTATGAGGAGGAAAGCAACTCAGGCATTTAGTTAGAGTACAGCTGAAGATTTACTTCTGTACGGAGAAGACAAGGGTTTCATAGATCATCTCCTTGGACAAAGGTAAAGGCAGAGTATATTAAAACAAAACCTGGCTGGGCACAGTGGCTCATGCCTGTAATCACAGCACTTTGGGAGGCCGAGGTGGGCGGATCACCTGAAGTCAGGAGTTCGAGACCAGCCTGACCAACATGGAGAAACCCTGTCTCTACTAAAATTAGCCGGGCGTGGTGGCATGTGCCTGTAATTGCAGCTACTTGGGAGACTAAGGCAGGAGAATCTCTTGAACCCAGGAGGTCAAGGTTGCAGCGAGCCGAGATCGTGCCATTGCACTCCAGCTTGGGCAACAAGAGCGAAACTCCATCTGAAAAAAAATACAACCTCCAGATGGTCTGTTTGTCCTTGAGTGCACTGATCAGCTGCAAAGAGGCAGTTTGTCCCTCAAAGGGCTGACAGAGTTGTGAGGGAAGGCAGTTCTTAGTTGTACGCAGGTTTTCTGAGAATTCTGGCTACTTTAGCTACAGAGTGTTGGTCATGCATCCCTGTCTGTGTCACGACGGCCTGTATCTTTCCACTGGTACCTGCGCTGTTTCTCTCACTGGAATTTGTTATGTGTTTAGGTTTTAGGAAATTAATAATGTGCGAATTCTGCAATGATGCTTTGGGGCCTGAGTTGAAACATGAATGTGCAAATGTATGTCATAGCTGTTGATCCTTAGCTTGCAGAACAGGGGATGAAACCAGCATACTGCCTTATTTGTAAGGCCGTGGGTCATCTGGCTGCATGTTGGATGCAGAACAACACACAGTGAGATCTTAGAAAGCCCATTTCCTAGGATAGAGAATTGTGAAAACAATTGTAAAAACATCTCATCTTCTCTGAGAGATATAAAAGTGAGAATTTTATTGTCATAACTTTTGGGAACATGTCACAAAAGATGAAAGGCATTCTTGTTGTCTGGAAACAGTGAAAGAATCCAAGTCCACATATAAATACATAATTTATTATTTCAGATGCACATAAGGAAATAGTACCCATTATCCAAATTACAAGTATGTTGTTCACTTCATCAGAACCGGAGTGAGACTCAAGGGTAAAGAATGAGCTGATCATGCTCTTTCTCTCCGATCAAGACCATTCTTTCCCTTTCTCCTCCCACACCTGCACACCCAGGAAAGGCATGCAGCAAGAAGCTCAAAATCTACAAGCCAGGAAGAGAGCCCTCACCAGAAATGGAAACAGCTGGCACCTTGATCTTGGACTTCCTAGGCCTCCAGAACGGTGAGAAGTAAGTGTCTGTTGTTTAAGCCTATAGTCAGCCCAAGCTGACTAAGAAACATGGCCGCCCAGAATGAAGGCTTTATTTTTCAGCATTTTCTGCAGTGAACTGCATCTTCTGTGGCCACATGAATAAGTTCAGGCCAATGAGTTACAAGCAAAATTAAAGCATGGTAGCTTCTAGCAACCTTTCTTAAAGGACAGCTGGTATATGGCCTTTACATCCCTTCCTCATTGTCACTCTTTCTATCCTACTGCTTGAAATGTGGTGTGAGAGCTGGAGCTCTTGCTGCCTTCTTAGACTGTGAGGTAAGGACCACATCATAGGGATGATTAAGAAGTAAGCTAGAAGGAGTTTGAGACCCTGAGGACTTGAAGGAATAGAGCTGCTACCACAGTCCCAGATTGCCTTTGCTTCAGTCTTTACACACGACAGAGAAATAAACTGCTATCTGGTTTAAACAGTGCTTCTGTGAGACTCTATTATTTTCAGTTAAGCCTAATCCTTGCTGATGCACACCTTTTCCCTTATGTTAACTTGACTTCATGGGGCATAGTCCGTGGGTCTCTAGGTCACTTCCTCTTAGTGGTGAGAGGCTAAATCTTGGTCCCTCTGATCACAAATGCAACATGTTGAGAATGCTGTCTTCCTGCCTGCAGCAAGGAATAGGGACATGTCTCGTCATTCCAGGGACTTAAGTTTTCCAGCTGCTTCAATTGATTCTGGAAATAGTAGCCATGAGCTCCATGGGGGCAATGTGACTTCACTTTTACTCTGTAGGGAGCATCACATATACAAAAAAAAATAAGACACCTTTCCTTTGCTTAAAGATGTCAATTCTTTCCTGAAAAACCCTGCTGCTCAGGGGAAAATAAATCATTAGATGGAAAAATATTTCCATTTATTTCAACGGGAAACATATGATGCATTTCATTCTGACCAATGATATCCTCAATATTCACATATAGAAAAACCTATTGACTGAACAATGAAAGCAAGTCTATGTAAGAAACAATAATTAGAAAGTACATAGGTCGAAGTACATAGGTAAAAGGCATTTATATGTGAAAGATACTATAATGGAGCACATTTTACTCTCAAGGGAGGAAGAAAGATGTGAGTGGGCTGGTAGAGAAGGGATTGGAGAGGTCATTCTTTGGCAGGTGCAGTGTTCTTTCTGTACTGTTTTCTTCAACAATTTTTCAACATTTTGAGGCTTCATAATCATCTTGCACTCAAAGGGCACCACAAATAATATCATAGTACAAAAAATACTTTTAGGACAAAACAAAAACTAGGTATGTTTGTGCTTCAAATAATGTAAAAAATAGTGCACGTGCACAGCCCAGTGACATAGCACAGAAGATGCTGCCTATCTCTTCATCCCCCTTGCATGGCAGTATGTTTGGGATTCTTTTTTAAAAAATTGGATTGCACATCACTCCTTTATTTTTTATTTTTATTTTTGGAAGACAGAGTTTCGCTCTTGTTGCCTAAGCTGGAGGGCAATGGTGCAATCTTGGCTCACTGCAACCTCCGCCTCCTGGGTTCAAGTGTTTCTCCTGCTTCAGCCTCCCCAGTAGCTGGAATTACAGGCATGCGCCGAAAAAGGATTTAGTACAGTTATGCTTAAAGGAACACTGGGCCCTTGTGGCAGGGCCAAGCAACTAGAACATGATTCAGAAATCAGTCAGTGAAAGACACACTTGGATAGGACGAACAGGCATTTTACTGCCATGAAACAAAGCAGGTGAAGGATTCTAAAACACACAGCAGGAGGCACTCCTACCCCTCAGAGCTTATTCCATCTTGGTGTGAGGGATAGCTTATTTTCTGATGACCACATGTGGGACTATTTCAACCACCACAAGAAACACCACAAGGGTTATTGTTTTGTATTATTTACATATACTATACTTTCTTTTTTTGGTAAAAGTAAATGTAACACATAAACTAAATTCAGGACTGATCCCAACCTTCTAGAGCCAGCTCCTCTGGGGTCAGGGAAGAAACGTTGTTTGTCACATCACCGTGCAAGTTACATTCATCTTCCACTGGAATGACTAGAGCCCCCAGGCAGTGGTCTGACTGCAGAAGAGCAGAGAACTGGCTCCTGGGGGCAGATAGGCGCTCTTGTGTCTCCTTACTGGTCATGGTTTAGCATGGTTCCTCCCCACAAGTCCTTAGTAAACAAAACACTGGCAAAAACCCAAGTCACTACCTTTCAACTCTCTTGGACAAGGGGAGCTTTTCCTCAGCTTGGACTGAGACCCTGTGCCCTAGAATTGCTATTCTGACTAGATCGTATGAAAGGAGTGGGTGCAGGAGACAAATGGCTAAATGAAAATGTGAGCCGCTGGTCCCCATCTGCAGCTACAACTTAAGATGCCTACAGATGTGGTCAGTGTGACATGTGCAGGGGGCAGAGGAAGGGATGGCCAGGGAGGGTGTTCCCAGGGACAGTAGCATGCCTGCTGGCCTTCACTTCTTAGCCTTGCCCTGGGCAGCCACAGCTTCCATGGCTTTATGCACAGTAGCTTCATCCCCCAGGAATTCCATGGGCTTGATGGGATTCAAGTTCTTTTCCAGTTCATAGACAATGCGAATACCAGTCGGCAGGTTCACCTCCATGATAGCCTCTTCAGAGAGACCCTCCAGATGCTTGACAATGCCCCAAAGGCTGTTGCCATGGGCTGCAGTCAGTACCCGTTTCCCCTCTTTGATCTGAGGAACTATTTCCTTCAGACTCTCACCGGAGGATAGCTGATCTTCAGTGAGGTCTGCATACCTGCAATTCTTACTGTTGTTGCTGTAGAAAAGATGGTTGGGCTCCATCGGAGGTGGTGGGACATCATAGGAGCGCCTCCAGATCTTCACCTGGGCCTCGCCATGCTTCGCAGCAGTTTCTGCTTTATTGAGGCCAGTCAGACCCCCATAATGCCACTCCTTGAGGCACCAAGTCCTCAATACTGGTAGCCGCATCTGATCAATGGCATCTAGCACTGTCCAGAGGGTTTGATCGCCCTCTTCCCTAGAGGGAAAGCAGATGTCAAACTCATAGCTAGCATCTCGCAGAGCCTGCCCACTGCGCTTTGCCTCCTCATGGCCTACCGGGATTAGGTTGGCATCGTACCAGCTGCTGAAGTGATTCTCCAGGTTCCACGTGCTGTCACCACACCTGATCAATACTAGCTTGTAGGTGGCCATGGCGGTGGGCTGGGGATGCAGCCTATGTTTTGGATTCTTGCAAATAATTCCTATTTGTTTCATATGATATTCTCTGACTGGGACTTGCTATGTCAAGTAATAAGTTGGTGAGTGTGTCTTTGCCTGAAATCAGAAAGTCAGAATATTCTTGTAGCATATGTCATTGGGTAAAAACATTGTTACACTTGGGGGAGAAAAAGGAGTCCTTGTCTGGGATGTAGTAGAAGCTTTCAAAGCCCTAATGGCAAGAAGTTGTCACTGAGCTGTTATTATGTGAATAAGTATGTAGTTGAGATGACAGGAGTCAGAAAGAGTCAACACCTCAAATTCTCTTCTTAGGGTCTTACTCTGAGACAGTGAGTTAAGTCTTTATGAAGTAGGTGTGGCGAAAGTCAGGGAAGCTGCAGACAAACCTCTGCCACACATAGGCTTTTTGCCAAGGGCCCCAGGGCCTCAAATCTCTCTTGTTTTCTTTCAGTCAGACTTGAGGGACATGGGGTGTGGGTAGAGAATAGTTTTAGTACTTCCACGAAGTTGCTGTAGGTATTACCGAAATGCTATTGACTTAGTGACTTTTTTTTTTTTTTTTTTTTTTTGAGGCCGAGTCTCGCTCTGTCGCCCTGACTTTTAAAGAACAGGACTGAGATATACCTCTGCCAGCCAGAGTCCACCTGAGAGTTTGTTTTGTGAAAGGAGGACCTGAGCTGTGTTGGGCAGTGAAAGCCCCTCTGGGAGAAGAATGGGATAACTGACCTTCACCTGCTTGCTCTGTCTCTGTTTGTTCTAAAATACCAGCCGAGCAAGCTCTATTCTTACTTGTTTCTGGGCCCTACCAGGTCCTAGCAAAGTGCTGTCAGAGACAAAAGGGCATGGGCTTTGGAGTTAGAGTTGGATTCAAATCCCCACATTTCCTTCTCTGAACACTTTTAAGCCTTTCTTATCTGCACGACTACTTCCCAAAGAAAGTCCTCGTCTGCCCTCGCATTCCCCTTGAACTGCATCACATAGTGTCTTCTCTTCTTAGCTAACTTCACTATATGCAAGTGTTCAACCTGCTGTCTTATCAGAGAGCCTTTTTTTTTTTTTTTGTACTGGACTTAGAGCTCCTTGAGTGCTCTCGGCATGTTCTGGTTCCTCCAGCAGTTCAATTACAGTAGGAGACATGTTTCTCTGGTTCTGTTTGCTCTTGTGTCTGGCTGCTGGGTTCCCAGCTGCTAGAGGTCTTTAGGGAGCGGCTATCCTGAGAGAGAGGCAGACACCATAGTCTGTCCATGGGGATAGGGGTGTGAGCCACTGGCCAGTTATCAATTCTTTAGTAGGCCCCAAGTTGCAAGGGCTGTTAACACCTAGGACATTCCCTGCTGGGGGACAGAGACAACTCAGCTCCTCCTTGAGGACAGGGAGAATCCTCCCAGACCTCCAGCTCTTTCAGCAACACTGACATGGAAGTCACAGACCTGCTCCTCTGTGGCCCATGGCCTGTTCAAATTGACTCCTAGATACCACAGTATTCCTCCTTTTTCTTGCCCCAAGACTTTTTGAGGCTTGTTTCCAGGATCTCCTCTGGCACAGAGGTAGAAATTCCTGTTCCACTCCTGTCTTATATGCCCCCACCTGAGCCACTGGCACTGCCCACACCTTTCAGCCTTAGCAGCTCCCTAGCTTAGGAGAACAGAGCAGCTGGGCTGCAGCTGGGTTGGGATGCATCGTGGATGTCACAGAACAAACTGCCATTTTCCCAGACTCCTCCTTACCCCTCTGGTCTAGAATCTGTAATATATTTTTTAATATTTTAATCTTTGGTCTCTTTGGAATTCATTTTGGTGTTTGAGAAAGGGCATTCTGGAACTGAGATCCTGAACAATGAGCCTGGTTCTGAGAGTGTGGAGAAAGCAGAATAGAAGACCAACCAACGAACACTGCGGGGCTAAGCAGACAGGAACAGGAAGCAAACCGGAAGGAGCAAGAAGCTCGTCCCTCTTTTCCCAAGAGAGAGAGAAAAAAGGAATCTTTTCCCTCATCTGGTCCTCCCCGCTCCCTCTTGCGCCCCCTGTGGGTCGGTCTACAGGGAGTCAAAGTAGAAATGGATTTTGAGTCTCAGTCAAGTCACGAATTGAGTGTAGAGGCATACTTCAGAAGTGGGGGGGGGGACAATAGCTTAATGATTAGCGCATTAACTTTATCACAAATTAAATGGCCATATGTCCTTGGGTCTAGTTCTAGACTTTATCCTGTACCAATGATTGATCTATTTATTCTTTACCAGTACCAAACTTTTTATCATTGTACCTTTTGTACATGTTGATATCTAGTGGGACTACTTTTCCCCTCCTGATAATTTTCCAAAACAAGTTTTCTATATTAATTAATTTATATATAATTGTTTATGTGAATTAGAATTAGCTTGTTAGTGATTGAGGTTGCATTGAATTTATCTATTAATTTAGAGGACTTGAAAAGTTTACTTTTTTGAAATTTCTTTTCTTGCTTTCTTTTTTTTTTTTTTTGTCTTTTGGAGACAGAGTCTTGCTCTGTCACCCAGATGGCGATCTCAGCTCACTGGAACTTCTGCCTTCCAGGTTCAAGCAATTCTCCTGCCTCAGCCTCCCAAGTAGCTGGGATTACAAGCACGTGCCACCACATCCGGCTAATTTTTGTAATTTTAGTAGAGACAGGGTTTCATCATCTTGTCCAGGCTGGTCTCAAACTCCTGGCCTCAAGTGATCTGCCCACCTCAGCCTCCCAAAGTGCTGGGATTACAGGCATGAGCCACAATGCCTGGCCTTGAGACTTCTTATCCAGGTTATATCTTTCAATTTGTTAAAATATTTCTTCGAGTTATCACAATAGAGTATTAAGTTCTTATTTATGTACATACTGTGGACTCTTAACTTTATTCTAAGGCATTTTCCCTCCATTTTATTGCTAATATAGAGGAACACTTTTTTCCTTATTATATTTTCTTCTTGGTAAGGGTCTGTATGAAAAACTGGCTTTTTTCATGTATAGGTATACTATCATCTATTTAACCATTATGCTATTTTGGGACATTTAGATGATGCTGTTTTTCTCCATGGTAAGTTACATCATAGAGATTATTCTTTTTTTCTTTTTGAGACGGAGTCTCACTCTGTCGCCCAGGCTGGAGTGCAGTGGTGTGATCTCGGCTCACTGCAAGCTCTGCCTCCGGGTTCACGCCATTCTCCTGCCCCAGCCTCCTGAGTAGCTGGGACTACAGGCACCTGCCACCACACCCAGCTATTTTTTTGTATGTTTTAGTAGAGACGGGGTTTCACCGTGTTAGCCAGGATGGTCTTGATCTCCTGACCTTGTCATCTGCCCGCCTCAGCCTTCCAAAGTGCTGGGATCACAGGGCTGAGCCACCGCGCCTGGCCATAAAATCTCTATCTCCGTCTCTGATTTTTTTTTCTTTAGGGTAAATTTTTAAGAATTCCATTATGAGGTCTAAGTATAAGAGCACTTTATTACCAGGCGTGGTGGTGTGCGCCTGTAGTTACAGCTACTCCAGAGGCTGAGGTGGGAGGATTGCTTGAGCATAGGAGGTCAAAGCTGCTGTGAGCCATTATCATACCAATGGACTCCAGCCTGGGCAACAGAGCCAGACCCTGTCTCAAAAAGAAGAAGAAAAATAACATTTTATTTATTTGTTCATGAGACAGAGTCTCACTCTGTCACCCAGGCTGGAATGCAGTGACATGATCACGGCTCACTGCAGCCTCAAACTCCTGCGTTCAAGTGATCCTCCCACTTCAGGCCCTTGAATAGCTGGAACTAAAGGTGCTTGCCATCACATCTGGCTAATTTTTTTTCTTTTATTTTTTCTTGTAGAGACAGGGTTTTGCCATGTTGCCCAGGCTGTCTTAAACTCCTGGGCTCCAGTGAGCTGCCTGCCTCCGCCTCCCAAAGTGCTGGGATTGCAGGCATGAGTCACTGCACCCGGCCCTAAAAAAAAAATTTTTTTTTTAAAGAGATGGCATCTTGCTATATTGCCCAGGCTGGTCTCCAACTCCTGGCTTCAAATGATCCTCCCACCTTGACCTCCTTATAAAGCATTGGGATTACAGGTGTCAGCCACCATACTTGGCCTGATAAGAGCATTTTAAAGTCTGAAATGGTTTTTCAAAAACAGTGTCCACTTACTAGCAAGGACAAGGGCTCCTGTGTCACTGATCCATGACCAAAAATGGATATTATATTATCCTTTTCTGCAGTAGGTTAATAGGATTTGATTTTTAATAGTACCATTTTGCACCACTTGGGTTGTTAGTGATGTTGAGCTTTTTCATGTTTATTTGAATTGCTGATATTTAAATAGTCCTTCCACGATTTTTTTGGAGTTCTTCTTCACTTTCTTTTTGACATTCATTTTCTTTGAAAGAATTCCAAACTTAAAGAAAAGTTGCAATAATCATATAAAAAACCCATATGCAGTCTATCAACTTGTTAACATTTTACTACATTTGCTTTGCTTTATTATTCTCTGTGTGTATGTATACATAGTTTTTCTGAATGATTTCAAGGTAGGTTGTGTATCTCATGTGTATTCCATAAAAACAAGTATATTCTCTCACTGTACTCCACTACAATGATCAAACTCGGGAAATTCAGCATCATTACAATACAATTATCTTATCTACAGTTCACATTGGTTGCCACAGTTATAGTCAATATAGTTATAGCAACACTTTCCAGTACAGTATCCAACCTAGGATGATATGTGCATGTTTTCATCACATCTCTTTGATTCCTTTAATCTGGAACAGTTCCTCAGCCATACTTTGTCTTTCATAATATTGACATTTTTGAGGAATACAGGCCAGGTGTTTTATAAAATTGGGGTTTGTGCAATGTCTCCTCATGATTAGATTTAGAATATGCATCTTGGCTAAAATAACCACATAAGTGTCCCCATTCCTTTTTAATAAAAACAAGTTGGAATGTACTGCTGACAGCTTGACAATGAGGGAGGAAACCAGAAA